ATGGAACCAGAGAGAGACAAGAAGGCTGCAAATTTTTTGCAACTGGAAGTCTTTTAGCATCTTTAAGTATGATTAGTGCTTTGTATACTATATTATTTTAAAATTATCTATCAATTACAAATCCCCCTTTACCATGTTTATTAAATTCGTACCTTTCTTTTTTCTCTTTTGGGAGAGGAAAATATCTATGTTTTGTTTTTTAAATAAAAGCTAGTAAAAGGGAAAAAATAAAATTCACTTAAGACAAACTTGTAGGAAGGAATTTGTACATTTAGGAAGGATATTTGTGTTATTATTCAGGATCTCTAACTCCTCAATTACTTTCTTTAGTTTATCTTTCTTTCCCCTGCAAAAGCTGTACACCAAAATTCATTTTTCTATGGTTATTTTATATGATAGAAAGATCTGCTTTTACAGAAAACTTTAGGAGTGTGGAGGGGAATAAATAGTGGGAAATAATTTACTCTAAAACTCCCGAAGCTGATATAAAACAGGATGACGAAGCAGCCAGGGCGAGGCCAAAATGGCATGGGACAACGTGGGACTGGTGGTTGGGTCATGTAGGTGGGGTTTCCTGCTCCCACTGACATGCTCTATCACTAAGAAATAGTATTTCTTCTTTGTCCTTGTGTCCCTTCCCTTGCATATTTGCAAGAACAGTTCAGATCTAGAAAACATGCTAGTTATGTACTCAGAAACCAAGGGAAGATGGGGTGGGGGTACCCTTCTTGCTGATAGCCAAGATGCAGACAGATCAAAAGCTAAATCCAATTTAACCCACCTCAGGCAGAAAAAGTAATTGAATTAAACTTCCTCTAAATATGATAAGTTTGGGGGCTCTTAAAGCCAGGCACAAAGAAGCAGGTTAGAGTTAGCTGTTAAGTAAATGGATGCATTGAGCTCCAGCAGCCCCGCCCACAGGGAGTTTGATAAGCTGCTGATTGCCTCTATCACTTCACTACCCAGGCTGAAAACTGATTAAGCTGCTTATGGGGCTCTGGGGGCTAATGGCCTGGCCCACCAAGAACACCGCTGCCACTGATGTAAGTAAGCTGCTTGGCATGTAGGGCTTGATTATTACAAGGGAGAAAAAAAGAAAAGAAAAAAAAAAAGACCGCAGGGTATAGGAAAGCTTTAAAAAGCAGGCTTTATTATTCGAAGTGGATATACTACTTTGACACCCTAAAACGAATATGGAATTACTTTGGATTCTCATCTGATATCAAAACTCAGTTTTGAAAGGCTTCCTTAAAGAGTACTCACTTTGGAGCCCACCCATTGTATTTTAAACCATCTTTCCAAAAATGTTTGGTGCCTTTAAACATACTTCTCAAGTGATAGAGTCTCGGTCCTCAGATACACTCCTAGAGAACAGATAAATGTATAAAGGTGTCTTAACCAATTTTTCCCCTTGAACACCACTTTACACTATAATTAAAAATATACCCCTTTCAATGCTGGCAGGTTAGCTTAGTTGGTAAGAGAGTGGTGCTAATAATACCAGGTTCCAGGATTCGATCCCTGTACCAGTCAGCTGCCAAAAAAAAAAAAAAAAAAAATATATATATATTTCTACCTCCGCCAGCAGATCACTGCTGCTTGACTATGCAGTAATGAGTAAGCAGGACTGAAGGAACTGCGGGGAGCCGATATGTGCAAATAGGTCTAAATTTGACACACAAATGGAAATTAAAACCCTAGTCCTTCTCTCAGACCTCTCCAACTAAATGCTCTAAAATTACTTTTGCTATTTAAAATAACTTTTCTACCTCTGAGGCGTCTACCTCTGAGGGGACAAAGAGAACACAAAAGTCTTAACTTTTTAAATTAAAAAAAAAAAAGGCACACATACAAAAAACCTTGAAAAATAAAAGTCTGAAAAATAGCTAAAGGATATGAACGCAGTTTTTAAGCAGACCTTGCTTCTTCTGGGTAAAACAACCAGAGAAGAAAACAATGAAAGAACAGAATCACAGCAGTTAGACATGTTTTGAAAATTGTCACAATTATTTTTTTTAATTGACTCTTGAAAGAGTCAATACATAAATAGAAAGGGAAATAAGGCTTTCATTGAGAGTCTAACAGCTTCTTGGGGAGTGAGTTGTTGATTTAAATCATTAACTAAAGCTTAACATATTCAGAACTTAGGGCTGAACACACAAAAGATGGTTTCCTTCTGGCTGCTAACCTGGTCAATCATTAAATGTACATGTACTAATAAAAGTATAAAAAGATGATTCTAACTCTGTGCTCTGTGATGTTTTACTAAACTTTAAAAGTCATTCAGCTGTTCGGCTTGAGCACAAGTCAAAGGGCTTAACACATTCATTGCCTTTTACATCTTTTTTTTACACTTTTTTTTTTTTTACTGACATATAATTTACATACCATAAAATTCACTCCTTCAAGTAAACAATTAGGTTGTTTTCAGTATATTCACAAGGTTATGCAACCACCACCATTATTCCAGAACATTTTCATCAGCCCTAAAAGAAAACCTGTATCCATTAGCAGTTACTCCTCATTCCTCTGCTCTCCCCAGGCCTTGGCAACCACTAATCTACTTTCTGTCACTATGGATTTGCCTATACTGGACATTTTATTTAAATAGAATCATACAGAATGTGATCTTTCGTGTGAGGCTTCTTTCGTTTAGCATGATGTTTTCAAGGCTCACCCACATTGTAGCATGTGTCAGTACTTCATTTCTTTTTATGGCTGAATAATATTCGTTGTTTGGATATATATTTTGGTTATCCATTCATCAGCTGATTAACATTTGGGTTGTTTCTACTTTTCTGCTATTATGAATAATGTTGCTCTGAATATTTGTGTATAAGTTTTTATGTGAACACAGGTTTCCAATTCTGTTGTGTATATACCTAGGAGTGGAATTGCTGGGTCATAATGGTAATTCTACGTTTAACTGTGTGAGATACTGTCAAACTGTTTCCCAAAGTGGTTGTTTACATTCCCACCAGCCATTTTTGAGAGCTCCAGTTTCCCTACATCCTTGCCAACATTTGTTATTGTCCTATACTGAATCTTTTTATACTAAGTTTTTTCCCATTCTGAATAGAAATTGAGCATCAAAGCTTATGATGAAAAGTATCCCAAATGATGGCAGAATTCAGTGCCAAGACCATAATCAACAGAGACTTCCCCAGGGAGAAAATGAGAATGAATGACCCATCTGAGCACTTACCTGCTGTAGGTCAGCAAGGGAATACAGGTGGATCTGTTGAAGGAGGTATTCTCTGGGGAAAATTCTGAAAACAAGGGTAGATAGAAAAGTGAACTGTGTTGCTGCCACAAAACACACTTTTTCTAAGTTCCAGTCTCATTCAAGAATTCCTTTCATTTGCCCTCTGCCATTTCTATCTATACTCCTCCTCCCCCAACCCTCTGAGAAACCTGTAGAAACACATTTTTCTCAGATATTTTTCTTCTTAACACAGATACCAGAATGTCATCTGAAATGCTACAAGTACTGTGTAGTGGTCCAGGCTGAGAACCAGAGCATCAGGTTTCTTGAACCTTTCTTGAACCAGCTGTGTCCCTAACAAGCTGTGCAATCTTGGGTAAATCCCCAAACCCATCTGGCTTCCACTTCTTCATTGTAGATCAAGGGTGACTGAACTTGATGTCTCTAAATATCTGTCTGGCTGTATTATTTTATGTCTAAATTATTCTCTGTCTAAATTGAGTTTTGGAGTTGAGAAAAATTAGAGTGGCAATTTGTGTGTGTTTGTCTAGAGGCTTCTGTGGTTTTCATTAATGAGGGAGTGGGCTATCCTCTTACATGTTTAGTGATGATAATTTTTAGAACCTAGGTACATTTGGAAATAATCAGGTAAAATATTTTAAATTGGGACTCCTCAACAAAGTCCAATATCTTTGTTTGCTGTCAGTTCACAGTATCTGGATAGACGACAGTGAGTGAATAGGAAAAAAACAACCGATTATAGACAAGCAGACTGGTACCAAAGTGTAGATGGTTACAAGACAACACACACACACCCACGGTTTTCTCTCTTTATCTTATGTGGTACTATACGATTTTCTTGTGTCTTAAAGAAAAAAAAAAAAACAACCAATGTATTCAATTAACATTTATGACTGTCCATTATATGCCAGATACTAGGCATATAATTTATTCAATTAACATTTATGACTGTCCACTGTGACAGATACTAGGAAGATAATTATGAATAGGATAGTTCCAGAATCTGAGTTCAAGTAGCTTAAAGTCAAATGAGGGAAAGACACATAAACTGATAATTATAATACAATGCAGTAATTGAAAATAAGAGTTATGCATGGGGTACATATTTCTGGAATGTTCTAACATGGTAGATTCCAACCCAGGTTGTCTATTAAAATCACTTGGAGAGCTTTTAGAAAACAACAGGGCTTATGTATGGGTAGAGTCCAAAAATCGGTGTTAAACAAAATGAAACAAAAACTCTCCTGGTCCTTAGTACAGCCAAGGTTTAGAACCACTGGCCTAATATCTAGCTCATTGGGAAATTCATTATTCAGTCTTTCAATTAAGTATGCATTAGTTGCCAAATCCTAGAGATTAAACCATTCATCCTTTTATCCATCCAATATTGATTAAGCACATACTGTGTACCAGGCACTGTAGTAGGCCACTGAAAAAAGAGCACTGAATCAATTAGACAAAATCCTTACCCCATGGAGGACTGGGCTAGGTGTATTCTACTTTGGAGCTCTCCTGGAAAGTAGGACAGGTGCTAGAGAATTCTCTGGAAAGTGCTGCTTTACCCACAGGAATGACAACAAACCAAGTAAGTGACAAGGGCATTATATTCTGGGAAATGGGATATAGCTCCTAAGGCTGGGATCCCTTCAACTCTAAAGGTTCAGGGCTGCTCCTGTGGCAAGAAGCAGAGCACAGTCCCAGAGCACCTGGCTCATGTATAGGGAAAGTGCCCAACTTCTTCCTTCCCTACAGAAAGGCCCCTTGTTATGGAAGGTAGACCATGGTCCCTCGAAATAGAACTATCTAAAATTATACTTTGGTGGTATACAATTTTTCTTATGCTTAAACAAATTATGTTTTCGAAATAAGCAGGATGTGCACATGTAGTTCAGTTTCTAACACTTCCTCTCGATTTGTAAAATGTTCATATCCTCAAACTCTTCACCCAGCTTCCCCTAATGTTTACATCTTATATAACCATGGTATATCGATCAAAACTAAGAAATAAACTATTATGAAAATTGTGGGCTATATTCAGATTTCTCCAGTTATTTCACTAATGTCCTTTTTCTGTTCCAGGATCCAATCCAGAAAACAATATTGCACTTATAGATTGTTGTTTTATTGCTGTTGTTGTTTAACATACTTAAGCATTTACAAGGAGACTTGAGAACCAAACATATGTGCAGAAAAGGAAACCTAGGACACAGTCTTTCAGTGGGACTACTGAAAGGGGAGCAGTGTAGAATAATCTAATAAAGGGGACAGAGGATGTTTGGGGGTGGTTAAATAGGAGGGATAACTTTTTGAAAGGTCATTGCTTAACAGTGAAATCCCTTAAAAAAAGTAAAATGAAAGCACTGTGACAGCAGTGCTAAGAAACAGAGGAGTGAATTAAGTAAGTGGGCTGGAAAATCACTTCAAGATCAGCTTCTGCCTCTTCTGTTGGTTTGTAGAAACATAGGTCAACTGGAGAAAGAGTTGAATGGAAGATCACTGAAATGATCTACAGCAGGTATGAATTCAGGTTAGTATATCTGTAAGGTTTGGCTGCTTTAAGTTCTTTCTGCTCTAAAATACTAAAATTTCTGTGATTGGGAGTATTCAGTATATAAGGAATTATTTAGAAATTTACAAACCAAATCATACACGTATACGTTCCGTAGAGTACTATGGCCAGTGAGTTGGTTATCTAGTAAACAAACACTGAGAGCCTAAAATAAGTTGGGCGTTACGTTAGTGCTGGCGATGGCTACTTCAATGGAACAATCGATGAGCAACAAAGAATTTCCAGTTTCTCCTTACTAGGCTGGGTCCTTCTTGCCAAGCACTGTTCATTATTCTTCTTGAAACAACTAACCAACATGGGTCGCAGTCATTTCTAATACTCTTCCAACATTATTTGTACAGCTAAAGTTAGCTATGTATTTATTTAATATTTCTGCCTGTGTAAATATATTTCACATGTTTATTTTCTCTTTCCCTTTAGAAGAGACTCTAAACCCTACAGATGCACTTTGTCTACTAATCTCTCTCTATCACTCTTCAGTGTCTGATACTGTAATTCACATGAGGTCAGTCATAACAGACACAAAGAACTGGAAAATGCAATATCTGCAGAAAAGATAAAGGAGTTGAGTTTATTGTGTCTGGAGAAGATGCTGTGTCCAAGAGATTTAGTGGTGATCATTAAAAATACAGACTTTTAAGACAGATAATGCCAATCAGCTTTTCTTCTTCCTGAAGGATGGAAGTCATAGCATGGAGGTATTGAAGTGAAATTAAGAATAAATATCCTGAGAGAGAAGACTGGTAGATATTAAAATGCATCTCTTATAGTGATGCTTTTTAATGTACATAAAAGAAGAAAAAGGTTTTTGCAGCTATTTAGAGGTAGGGACACACTCTTCTGCTTAGAGGAGAAAAGGGTTTTGAAGGCAGGGCTAGATAACTTAAGGCTCACCGGGCTAGTTTCTCTTTCGCCTAAGGCAGACTGAATTTGCAATACATTTTTGGAATGTCTTCTTCAGGCAGACCAACCACAGGGAAAGAGCAGGGCAAATAAGGATGTAAAAGCCATGCTCAGGAAGGCACAGGCTATGACAACTTCCCAACTGAGTACCACCACCCACAGGCTTTTCCCTGCTGTGGGTTACGTCCTACAAGTTGGCCGTCAAAAAGGTGTGCTTTAGGAAACGGACAGAAGAAGCAGGGATTCCCAGGGTTCAGCTCTCCTTCCACTCTGATTAGCTGAAGAAGATGTGGTAAACCTGTAGGTCCAGGCGTGAAGCTACCTTAGGCAGATCTGACTAGGGAAGACAGGGCTCTGCAGGGGACGCGGGGGTGAGTTTGCAGTCTCTTTAGAGACTCTGATGGGGGAGCCCTTTATGTCTGGGAAGCAAAGCTTGGTATCCCCTTAAGACAGTCATGTCAGCATTAACTTTACTACTAATACATTCAATAAAGAGTGGATATTACTTGCATTTTTGTCTGAAAACACTTGTGATCACCATGTCTCCCATGAATTTAATGCAAATGAAGCCCAGCTTTATGACCTCTGCTGACTTGTCACTATGGTTAAGAACTTAAAATCAGAACCTAAAATCAGCACACATTTCATTGCAATAAGTGTACATAACATGTGCCCCGCATTGTGCTGGACCCTGGTGATTAGGAAAACACATCGTTTCTTAATGTCAGAGAACATACAGCCAAGTGGGATTAACAGACAAGTCAGCACGAATTTCCAGTTCACAATGTGGAGGGCTGAGCTCTGTGGACACATGTGCAGGGCAGGAAGGGCCTCAGAGAACTGACAAGTTAGAGCTACTAGGAAGAAGCAGAAGAATGGGTATTCTGGGAAGAGGAAGCAGCACAGGCAAGAGCAGCCAGAGCAAATGCCATGCATTCAGGCAACCAGCTCTTTGGGTAGATGAGAAAGCTGTACATGTGTACATGTTTGGGAGGGGAAACTGCAGGGTACGAGCTCGGAAAGTTAGGTTGTAGCCAGACAGGAGGGGTCTTGACTGCCATGCTAAGAGTCTACCCCCAAACAGATGGGATGCCACAGAAGTGCCTCAAGCAGGAGAATAAATGACATGGTTAGCTTTGTTGTTTTAAAAGATCACTGACAGCAGAAGGGGACAGAGGGAGAGACTGAAGGGAGGGATCATTTTTTTGGTAAACTGGGTGAGAAGTAACGAGGGCCTGAATAGAATTAAAATGGTTGCCCTGGCGTTGGGGAGAATGGGCCACCACAAGAGAGATTTCTGCAGCAGAATCTGCAGGTCATGATGACAATGATTCAGTTTTCTAGCTAGGTCAAGTAGATAAACAGCAGTTCCATTTACTGACATTGGAATAAGAGAGGTTATCTTGGTGGGGGAAAGGGTAGCTCTGTTGTTGAGGTAGCAGATTTAAACTGTCTGTGGAGTATACAAGTGAAGTCATTTGTGAATACAGGTGGGAGATTTGTGTGACCCCAGCCTATAGGTTTTAGGTGAAGCCATGAGAATAAATGACAGCCCAGGACAGCACATACTG